TCTTTATTACTGTTTGGCATAATTTTATATAGTTTCTGCCACAGGGTAAGACTACTTCACTGATTCTAATTTCTGCCATTCTGTGGATTAGGATAGGGAACAAAGGATTTGTCTACCTGATTAAATGGACAACAGATATTTCTTCTAAACATTTTTTGTTACATGGTCCGTTATTGTTAAAGTCTGTAGAACCAAGGCTGTATTATAGAACATGACTGCATCATGTACTTTCCTCGGCAAGGAAATCATACAAAGCACAAGACAGGAAGGCTGCCCATATACAGTATATATTTTCATTCTTTATAAAAAAGTACTGCTGACTCGGCCTTACGGACAGTATATTGCCACTGCCTTACATTCTGTATTGAATTACTTGCCGCTATTGTGAAAGGTCTTTTTAATTCAGTAGTCTGATTTACTGAATTCCAGAAACTTTTTATATAGTGTGTTTTCCTATTCCCTCTGAGTATTTTCTTTCTAGGCACATGTGTATATTCTCAGGCAGAATTTTTTATTTTGATGCCCTGGCATATATAATAAAGGTCAAACAGGACTCATTTGTATCCTATGCACAGAGTACAGCTGAGCTGTATCACATCCCAGGGTGACACAATGATTCTGTAAGGATTATTGACATAAAAATATTGTGTGAGCTGCACTTCCTGTACAGAGATGAAGCCAGAAATATTTTCTGTTTAAGTGGTAGTAGTGTACTAGGGTAGTTGTTAATCATGATCACTTAAATGAGTATCCTGGAAGGTATATTAGTGGTGTAGCATTTATTGTTGAGGCCAATACATCAGATAGAGTAAACAACGCAAAGGCAAAAATTTAAGACTATCTTACATCTATGTACGCTTACATAACACATTGGTTACTTTGCAAGAAAGGCATAACAGTGCCTATAACATTCATTTAGTGAATAATGCATTCAATGGTTAAAGGAAAAGCTCTTTTTCTTAATTTCTAGCGAAAACTCTTTTTTTTTCTTCAAGTTTTGATTAGACTAGTGAAGGGTTAGAACTCCTGTCAATTAGTTTTTATCAAAAGGATTAGATGTGACTGTGATGCACTGGATACTGAATAATTATGATCCAATATCACAAAATGGAGTCTGGTAGACATGTGCATTCGGATTCGGACAAACCTACAAATCAACGAAATTCAGTTGATTTGGCGGTTCGTCCGAATCCGAAATAACAAATTTATTATATGCCTGAATATACGAAAAGTATATGTGGGCATATATAAATTCATTTGCAGAACTCATTGGAACAACATATAGGCCGCCGACATGTTCTGCGCGTGCCCGCCGCCATCTTGGAGGCGGAGTGCTTGATGTCACATGATGGTGACATCATACGCTGAACCAGCTGTGTCCATATCGGCTGCTGGCACATTCTGCACAGGTGCGCCGCCATCTTTAAGTATATCTTGGTTTGCAAGTTTTACAGTTTCAGTGTGTGGTTTCGGATTTGGAGGCTCGTTGCATCAGAATCCAAAACAGCATAAACATGTGTTTTCTTTGTTGAAACGAATGACAATGTTTTTCGTTTTCATTTGTTTCGTCATTTCCGTGCACATGTCTAGAGTCTGGTTGGTAAAGCTGATTGGCTCTGGATAGGCAGCTCTCATGTATCAGGGGCCAGAAGAAGTACCCTGGGTGGCATCCTATGGTAAAGAAAGAAATGATAGTGCTGCACTATCTTACAGTGTAAAGAGAATGAGGGGAATTTATCAAAACTGGAGCAGACAAAATCTGGAGCAGCTTTGCACAGCAACCAATCAGCTTCTCTTTTTCATTTTCAAAACTTAACTAAACAAACTGAAGAGTGAAGCTGATTGGTTGCCATGCCCAACCGCTCCAGATTTTGTCTGCTCCAGTTCTGATAAATTCCCCCCAATGTATTTTAACACATAATCAGGATGAGAGAATAACACCCAAAAGCATTTCGGGAGTTAATAAAAGAACATTTTTATCAGGGCTGCATGTGTATGAATGGTTGGTCTCCTAAAATACGTCTGCTGGTTTCTCTGTGATTATTGAAAGTAGCATCTGATGGTATGGCATCCATGCAAAGAAAGTATATGCAGAGTTTAAAGTATATGTTATTGCAATAACTAAAATCTCATATAAACTTTAAAAAAGAACTCTGGGGAAACGGTATTAACCCTTGCAGTAGGACTACCCCATGCACTGCAAGGGTTAACTGCTAATTTGTGTCTAGGTGCTAAAAAATAGTTATACTCACATGACCATTCCAGCCGGCTTGTTCTTAGACCAGTCTCTAGTGCCTCTCTCCCCCTCCACTGCAGCGGTCTAAGAATCCTACGGGTCTATTCACTAAGCTGCCGAGGGCAACCGAGTAAACAACTGACCCCAAGTGAAGTGAGCCGAACACTGTTCGGCTATTCACTTCTGGCTGGTACGGCTGATTTCAGCCGTACATCGGCTTGCTTCACATGGCTTCGGGTCAGCATGTTCGGCCGACCCGAAGTGCAGAAGGAGTTCGACTCAGCTGATCCAACATCTGGATCGGCTGAGCTGAACCTCCGGCAGGCTACTCACTGCTGTTCGGCCTTTTCCGAATGCCGAACAGCAGTGAGTGAATAGCCGAATTCTGCCGAGCAGCATTCGGCTCGGCTGTTCTGCTCGGTCCCTCAGAGGGACCGAGCAGAACAGAAAACTTGTTAAAAAAGTTTAAAAAAGTAAATAGAAAACGATTGTGCGGAGCTACCCTCTTTCCCCGAAAATAAGACCTACCCTGAAAATAAGACCTAGCACTATTTTTCAAGATTCCTGTAATATAAGACCTACCCCGAAAATAAGACCTGGTTGGGTGGTGGCATGTGAGGGGGAACTTGAAGAGCAGGAGAGATGGTATCAGCCTGCAGGGACATACTGTATTAAGGGGATGACAGGGAACTCTCCAGTACCATACTTCACCAACTGCTGTCCCCCTGAAGGCACTGTTTAATGTAATGGTACTGTACTGTAATGTGTACTGATAAATGGTACCGTACTTTACCGCGCTATCCACTGTCTGATGTCCCCTCTGCTGCACCGCTGGTACCACTGTCCCTGATGGCAAAGGAAGCTGGTGCTGTAGAAAGCAAGGCTGCGGCGGCGAAGGGAGCAGAGTAGCATTACCCGATACTTCCTCTATAGTGCCGGTTACTAACTTTGAACATGACTTTGGATTGTTGTACATTTTGTTGCACATTAAAAACAAATAAGACATCCCCTGAAAATAAGACCTAGTGTGTTTTTTTGGGGCAAAAAAAATATAAAAGACAGTGTCTTATTTTCGGGGAAACACGGTAGCAGTGACAGCTAGCTCCGCCCAATAGTTTCCTATTGTCCTGCGGCTCTGCTGCCATCAAAAAAAAAAGTAACAATAAAAACGCTCCCGGCTGCCCAGGAGAGAAACACTGCTGTTTCTTTTTTTTTCTTCATTCTGACACAGAGCGATGTCAGAATAGCAAAAAAAAAAAACAATTTCCCATTGGAATGCATTGCTACATTCCTATTGGCTATTTCAATTTGCAATAGCCAATAGCAAACTATCATTGTACCCGCCCTCTGCTTATGGACCTGATTGAGAACTGCAGCAGAGGGCGGGTACAATGCTAGTTTACTATTGGCTATTGCAAATTGAAATAGCCAATAGGAATGTAGCAATGCATTCCAATGGGAATTTTTTTTTCTATTCTGACATCGCTCCGTGTCAGAATAAAGAAAAAAAAGAAACAGCAGTGTTTCTCTCCTTGGCGGCCAGGAGCGGGAGACTCCCAGAGCGCCAGGGAGAGTTCGCCGTTTGGAGATCAGTGTCCCTGGTTAGCAGGTAACCAGGAACGCTGATCTCTCTGCAAGTGGCCGGAGGCAGCCGTAAGATCCGCCCAGCTGTAAGAAGCAGGCAGTCGGCCGGCCAATTGGCCAGCTTCGGCTTTCTGCACGGCTCAGCCAAGCCGATGCATATGCGTTCGGCTCGACTGAGCCGCTCGGCCACGTTCGGAAGCTGTACGGGCTATAGTGAATAGCCCGTACAGCACCCCTTCGGTTCTACTCAAACGAAGGGGTCCTGGGGCCGAAGCTAGCCGAAGGATCGGCCGAAGCTACGGCTAGATCCTTTGGCAGCTTCGTGAATAGACCCCCTAGTGTCATCACATTCTAAACAAGTGTATAGATACGAGGACACTGAGGAACATTTCATTTGTGCAGGGGAGGAGAAGATGCGCTTTAATGACCGGAGAAGCAGGGAGTTGGCTCTGCAGATGGAGTTGAGTATAACTAGACACAAACGAGCAGTTAACCATTGCAAGGGTTAATGAAAATGTTCTTCTTTAACATTTTAATGTATTTTCACAAGTCACTTTGAAGTCAATATTTCATTATATGCATGGAGAGTGGAAGTGGTTGCAAAGAGCCTACAGGAGATTGCAACAGAAGATATGTTTAAAATAAGTATTTAATTTAAAAAAGTATAAAATTGTAATAAATTATTTGTGCTGTAACAAAACAATGTGAAGTAGTGAGTGTATAGCTTGTATATTAGTGTACATTTGCTGTCCCCTCAAAAAAACTCAGCACACGGCCATTAATATCTAAACCGCTGGCAACAAAAGTGAGTACTGCAGATAATACTGCCGTACTGGAAGCACAACGCTGTTAAACAAAGGGAACCGCAGGTATGCTTTATACCACTGATCTCATGGGCCTGTTCACAGTTGTCTGTCCTTTAGTCAAAACCCAACACACTTTAAAACTAGAATCATCAAAAAAACCTAGCAAAATGATACTTTATTGGTGATTGGTGATTTTGTAAAGGCTTCACAATATATTTTCCCATATTACAATAAATACAATTATACATAACAGCTTAGAAAAATGTCTCAGCAAGTTACAGTAACAGAAAATAAAATAACAAATGCAGAAAACCAGCATCTACTACAAGGCGGACATAAACAACTTGCACATTTTTTCTGTTCAGCTATTTTCTTTTACAGTTACTGTAAAAAAGTCTGTATATCCAATAATACCAGCTCAGCATCTGGTTCGTGAGTTCAGTCATTTGATGTACTTCATACAAGAGTTGAGAATTTCAATTCCATGAAGTTCCCGAAGTTGTACCAGGTACCTGAGTAAATAAAAAAAATATTACATAAATGTTTTTTCTGTTTCATCTTACTTTTTTGCATTGTATTAGTTAAGCGTATTCTACTGAAACATACTACGCTGGAATGAAATAAAAACATTTGTACAAAAGCTATATGTATAGAAAAATACAAAATGTACATCTTTAGAATTACATCATTTGTCCTTGAAATTGAAGATGGTTGCATTGTTAAAAGTACATAACTGATTCACTATCATCATGTATTATAGAATAGAAAATGTCCATGAATAACTGTGGCTATGCAGAGGTAAAGCATCAGACACATTAGGCTGTTTAGATCTGTTATGCCAATGGTACATCATGCACGAATATTGAGTGGGTTATTCACATAGTCCTGTGCATTATGTAGAAGCACCCTATGCCAAAATGGCAGATCTGACCATAAAATCATAAGGAAAAGTCATTTAAATATCAGCCCATCCACTTATGAACCATTGACAGATCAGGTATCTTTTCTTTACACATAGGGATGTCCTACACGTTTGTCCCTACATATTCTCCAGTGTACAGCATGTGTTAAATTAGTTACATTTACATTTTAAAGTATTAAATCAAATATATACAGCATGTAATAACACTGCAATAATATCTGGATAAACCCTCGCTCCTGTTAGCATATTAGTTGGGTTTCCAAAACCAGTAGAGCTCTTTAAACACAAACAGGTTTACCAATTAACTAAATCAAAGTGCAATATCCAAATTGCAGTCACTTATTGAATCAATAAGAATTTTAAGATCTGATTTCTAGTGAGCTAAATCATATGGCGCTGGTTTTTGGAATTGCAAATCTAATGCCACACAATACATAATGTGGGGTTTTTGAAAAGGTAAAATTACCCCTACAACCCCTATCTTTAACCTAGATGAGGGGAAGCTATGCTGACTCCCATCAACCTAATCATGTACAAGCAAGCATACTGTAGTTTTTTTATTTTCTTTGCCATAATTGCATATTCTATGCAAAGTGAAATTTCAACACATGTACTAAGCTAAGGGAAATTTACCCTACAAAATACAAATTTCCTTGCAAAGTGAACAGCCTATTTTCCTTTAGTAAATCAACTCCATTGAGTCAGGGCCAGCAGCACTTACTGTATGTGGCCAACAAAGAAGTGCCATGACGCCATTGCTAAAAATCATTTTTGTGATGATATCTGGTTACTGTGGATTACAATATTTTCCACTTTGTTGTTGCGCTTACATTTTTGTACTTAATGCTATTAAGCTTCGTTGAAGATCTCATTTTTGTATTATACAGATCTTTTTATTTGAATAAAGGAACCGTAAAACCCATTTCCACCTTTGCAGAGGCAATGTGTACCAAGTGTACATGAAGCAGGCATATGCAGTTGAAGTATATAAAAATAGAACGTTATATTAGCTGTCTTTCTTCTTCATATCCTCATGGAAGTGTCTGGCTCTGTGCTTTGCAAGCAATGTGAAAATATCCCCCACCAGCCCCCCTCCCCAGGACAGTGTATTGTGTGTAAAGGCAGAGCTAGTGTTTACTGATCATGTTACAATGGGTGCAGCTGATTTCTGTGGAGAAAATGTTGAATTTTTAGGCTTCAGACCTAATAAAAACTTAATAAAAAAATGAAGAAAGCCTGCAATATGAGTCATGAAAATGTGCACATGTATACATCATGACTGCATGTCTTCATTACCACAATAAGTGCAGCTCACCTGGACTTTAAAGTGTATTTCCACTTTCACAGCCAAATTGGGATAACACCAATTGTATATTTGTTACAGGTTCTCCTAGCATAAGCTGAATTCTTATTTTTAAAAAAATGTTTCTTTACTTGGGTTAGGGTTTCTTGGCTTCTTAAGGGTTAACATTTCTACTTGTTTTTCCTTCTTTGTAATGTTAGGGGGGGTTGTGAGCGGTAAGGGGTTTGTGATTATCATTTGTAAAGTAGATTTGAACACTGCCTGCCCTAACAAAAGAGTAAAGGGTTACAGCAATGGCTTCAGCATTGTATGTTAATTAAGTTAATGAGAGAAACACAATCCTCAAATTTCAGTCAGTATTTATATAGGCACAGATTACTGTGAAAGGTGCTGAGAAAAACATGGAATTGACCATGTTGCCTGCTGCAATAAAACATCTAAAAGGTCATTCATATTTTATAGTATGAGGTGTGAATAGGAACATCTAACAATATATACAGGGGTTTACTTAAATTTGACTGTAAAAGTAGAAATATGCTTTAAGCAAACTAAAAGGGCATATGAGTTCTAGGTTATTTGTACTTCTACACCAGCTGTGTAATCATTCATCTCCTCCTCTACTATATATTACAAGCATCTGTCACCTTGGCTCTGCAGAGCACAGTTTCGCCAGTGCTATGGCTGCATTCTGCTGCACGGAGGACTTCTTGGCATCTCCACCAGCATGGGTCAGTAGGAGCTTCAGGATATCAGACTGGAGGAGGGAAGAAGCTGATCCTGGTACAGCAAAGCAACAACCCAAGGAAAGGGCTGTATTTGCAACAATGATCTCATCTTCAGATCGCAGCAGGTTTACCAAAGTGCTGAATCCTTAAGGAAAGAAATCTCATTTTATCTGGTTTGTATAAACGCCAACATTTTAAATGCATTTCCAGAGACATTTTTCTATCAGTCATATTTAAAGTGAATTTCTAGTTTATGCAGAACAAAAACAAAGAAAATGTCCACTATATCATAGGAGATTTTTTATGTATTTATTTTTGTTTTATACCTTATCATTTAACACATGGCAAGGAGCAGGAGAAGATACACAAGCAATGAAATGTACATGATCTTAAGAAAGCTAATATGTATTAGCTAAAGGTTTTTGACAATTTACATACCTAAATTTAACTTTGTTATTTTCTGTGGCCAGTAGAATACACATGTTTTTATTGCAGTTCCTCTTTAAAGCAGACCTTTCATCAACATTAGACTCCCTGCAAATGGTATGTCTCAAGTCACAGCTAACAAAACCTCTGGAATGCTTAGCTTTGCAAAGGAAACTACCATTGCAGCTGGTCCCATGACCAAATATCACTCTGCATTCTTATACTCCCTTCAGCTGAGGTCTTGTGACCAAATGCCTAAAAAATTATCATATACCAGCTGTGGGAATCCATGAAAAAGTGATCTCACACAAACATCAGAAATGAAGACAGTCATGCTGTGTATCTGGACTATACACATACACTGCATGACTAATCTCAAACAATGCCTCATATCATCAACACTGCCAAAACTGGGTGACTGTAGGAATGTCTAAATTTAGGGTTTGTAAGTCTATGGGCAACCTTGTACCTACCATTTAAACTAGGGGTTGTGAGATAACTCATTGAAGTGTAGGTATATGCAATTTTTTTTATTTTGAATAGAGCAGGGAAGGGTTAAAACCCTTATTGGGTTATTCCTGGCTATGTGTGTGTCCCTGGAGAGATTTCCCTTAATTTCCTGTCCAAGTGACTCAAGAGTAAATGAGAAGAAATCTTCTGAAAGTGAAGGGCTATTCCTCTGTAAGTCAGTTGACGCTGGAACATTTGCCCCATTGGCTGCTTTTTTATCCTTAACTCTTGCTCTGCTGACTTCTCTGAATGTTTGGGTTCCCACTCACTTTCTGAATAGGTGATAGCTGTCAGTAGGTAAAAATAGAGAAGCTAATCTTCACTGGCAGGAAAAATAACCTAACAGGGGTTCAAACTCATTCCAGATCTAACTAAAACTAAAAAAAGTTTTGCCTTTTGAAACACTTGAAGTTAAATATTATTATAATTTCACAATATTTGTACACTGCTGTTTTAATTGTACATGGAATAAATTACCAAATATTGTTTTTCTTAAAGACAATAACGTCATCTAAAAAGTTAAGAAAATTAACAGTTTTGAGGTTTCACATACAAAAGTATTTTTTTTCTACAAGATTACTACTGCAATAGCTCTGATCTAATCTCATACCATAGTGAAGGGACAAGCAAACTGTTTTCTCCCAGTTGCTGTTCAGCACCGTCAGACAATACATGCTGGGATGATGGTAGGACAACTGAGTGGGCTAGCAAAGCATGTGGGCAAACATAATTTAAAACCAGCTGGAGAGACATAGGCTGCCTATCCATGTGATAAGACCATGCCAGTAGCTGCAACAACACACATTATAATTCTGCATTTCAGCTTCCTGGATCATGCCTTCTATATTTTGCCCAGTCTGTTTCCAATATTACATTATTGCTAATTGCTTTTGAATGCCCTGCATCAAGGTAAGTGGGAAAATAATAAAAACTGAAAATAAAATTTCTTCACCGCTGTTGTTTAACATCCATTTCCATAGTTATCTGACAGTAAAAGTAAAGATTAGCAGGGTCAGAAAGTCATGCTGTTCTGTTCAATAATTAATTAGGAATTCTGCAATTACCTGACTTTAAGACTCTTAATGTGCTAACTAAAATTAAATGGTGTGTAGTAAAGATAAATGGGAGATAATTACTGCATCCACACTTAGACAGTTTTAGAGTCAACTTTTTTAACTCTGTGCCAACCACTGCATAATGTACTAGACTCCTCCATAACATTTTTTAAGTGATTTTTTCAGTAGGCTGTTGTTCCAAACAGTTTCATCCTGCAATGGAAGAATGTGTATACATCCACCAGGTGGCAAATCTGCTCTTCACTCTCTTAAAGAGCTACAAACAGCACTGTTGTACAGAATGTCACCTGCTGGGGGCGTGGCCGACCGCGGAGGAAGATGGCCGCATAGGAGACGAGCTCCAGATTAAAAAAATAAAAATAAAAAGAATGTCACCTGCTGGGTGCTGTGCCTTCTTCTGCCAGCTGCTGTGCCACTACAGGACCCAATGGTGATGTAGGAGCCAGTGGCAGAAACCACAATGTTTAATGGGGGACTCCCTATCTAACTCACCAAGAAGTGCTTGTAGCTTTGCAAGAGAGTGAACAAAGGAATGTAACCAAACAGGTAAGTATTGAACTTCATCTTTAACAGGATGACATTCTTTGGATTTCTCATAATCTAGTGACAGAGTGATTTAAAGCCAAAAATGCACATTAATCTAAATTATACAGGCATTTCTATCAAGAGATTAAAATTGGTAAAGGAATATTTTATTCACATTAAGAGAATGCCGGTTGACTAATGTGCATTAGGAAAACTATACACCGCTACAACATAGATGTTCTTAATGGGGGTCTTAAATCATATTTATTATTCAAACTCATGTGCTTCTATATCATTTAGGTATTAAATCTAGCATGGCTTCATGGTTACTTTACCTTATCTCCTTACCATTAGGGCTAATCTGCATTGACATTTTTAATAACTACTTGCTGCCAGTAACTTCATTAGGCTAGACCTATGCTGAAGATTTTAGTAGCTTAATTAGATTGCAAGCAATCAGTCACTAGTAGCAATTGCTCACTAAACAAATAGAAAAAAATGACTGCCTATGGAGTAAGCTACACAAGTAGTGGTTAGTACCTATCAATCTTGTATGAACCCACAATGCTCCAATAATGATCACTACAAGATGTGCTAGTGCACAGGCGCCAAAGAGATTATGGGAACCATTTAAGAATTAAAATGATAATGAGGCCTGCCAAGCCCAAACTGTGTGGAGTGAATTGTTCCACACACACACCCCCCTAGGAGTGCACACTCACCACATATCAATGGCTGTAAGTTAGCAGCCAAAGTTCACTTATATGCCAACAGGTTGCCCAGCGTTTTCTTTGTGTGCCTCCACAGCGATGGTCCATAGATGATGAAGTCCCCACATTCATAAGAAAAAAGAACTCCTCATTGTGCAGTAGATCAAGTATATTTATTAAATTAAATTAAAAAACTCACATCAATCAAAAGAAACAACCGGCCAGCAAGATCCAAATGAACAGCCCGCACTTCCGGATTTGATTTAGCCTCAAACAGTCCCGCCCCCGACGTGTTTCGCCATCAAGATGTCTTCAAGGGGACAACAGGCCCTGTTGTCCCCTTGAAGACGTCTTGATGATGAAACTTTGGCTGCTAACTTACAGCCATTGATATGTGGTGAGTGTGCACTCCTAGAGGGGTGTCTGTGTGGCACAAGGCGCTTTCGGAAGCAATTATCAAGCACTTTTGGGACTATATTTGCACTTATTTAATAATTTTTTATTTATGGACTTTTATTTATCACTCTGGGTGTGATATGAACTTTGAGCTAAATGTATTGTATATGGAATATTTGATTTAATGGTTATTCACATTCATTTAATTATGTTATGTTAAATGTATTCATATTTATGTGGTTTAAATGTGGTTTAATATGTCACATTTGTTAATAATTCACACTATTTGGTATTAATTGATATTAATTGATTTTATTAATTAATCAATTATCCTATTTTGATAACTTATTATTAGGGCTGTTACTGATTAAAATTTTCGTGTTCGATTAATCAAAAACATTTTTAATCGATTAATTTCGATTACTTATAACGCACATACAGATCCAACTACATTGGCCTATACACATACAGCACAGCAAGTAGAAGTAATAAAATTTACTAGGATCCCACTAATCCAGCACGTTAGTAATCTCATGTGCCCCACTCAATATGGCCGCCACTTGAGTGGGGCAACTCAGAATAATAACGTGCTGGATTAGTGTGATCCTAGTTCATTTTATTACTTCATTGCTACAAATCTACAAACAGAAGTATCTGTTTGTAGATTGTCATCACTAAACATTTCTAAAGGTCTAAAGGTCTTTGTTGTCATTTCAAAAATATTACAGGTATTTATATAATGCTAACAATATACCCAGCACTTTACATACTGCACATTCACATTAGTCCCTGCCCTCAAGGAACTTACAATCTATGGTTCCCATCTCACATGCACACATACACACATACATGGACATTTAACTTATCAGCATGCCTTTGGAATCAATGTTTGTGGACTGACATGTTCCATTATTGATAGCACTGTAATATTAATTCCACTAATGCAGCATTATCATCTTAATTGCAGTGCATGCATGTGACTGTTGCTGCTTACATTATACAGTAAACCCCCAGTTATCCGGTACCCATTGGTAGATGCCACATAACTGTAGTTCCTGGTTGCTTGAGAGTTACTATTAACTCTCAAGCAACAAACCCCCCCTTCATCTGCTGGCTAGATTCTGCTACTGGCTATTTAAAATTGTCATAGCAAATAGCAGGCTGGCTATTGCACATGCTCACTGCCCATTTTTTACACTCACCTGCCAGCTGAGGAATCTAGCCGTCAGCCTCAGCAAGATGTAAACAGATTATTTAATTAGCAACTAAATACATTTAGTTGCTAACAAATTTTTTTAGTGTGCACATGCCTATCAAGCAACTGGAAAAAAAATTGACATATTATGTTTTTGATTTTTTTTTCTGGTTGCTCGAGAGTTCTGGTTGCTTGAATGCCAGATAATGGGGAGTTTACTGTATTTTTATTCTCATAAAGTAAAATGATCAGATTTGGATTTGTTCCTACCATGAAACTGGAAAAATAGAAATCCAGCAAGATTCAGTTGATATGCTCTTCAAGCTTTTACAAGTATAACTTACTTTTATCATACTTGATGACATCTTTACATGCCTGGATGTCCTCTTTGGTGCACACAGCAAGCACTTTGACCGCATACATAGATGTCTTCTGTCCACCTGCCTGTGTGTAAGAACAATCATTATCATACAGCAACATTTTAAAACCAAAAGACATAGCCAACACACAATTAAGTATAATATAAGACAATACTTCATAAATGTGTAGTAAAAAGTTATGATGTTTATGTGGACATCAATCAGCAGTTTAGTCAAAAATGTTACAAGTTTTCTCTATATTAATAATACTATCTAATTAAACCATAATAAAACATACTGCATTTGAATAGGTTTTTCAATGAAGAGTTGCACTCTTTTTCTCTTAACAATGGCAGGGCATTTGTCATTAATTTGCTGTGTGAACTCCAGGCAGTTACGAAACTCCAATTCATGCAGGTATGTGTTCATTAAAAAATCATAAAGTATATTAAGTAAATAAGTATATCCGCTGTACAGCAGAGTTCAGACTGGGGAGCCAAGCCAGTTGTGCTGCATTCTTGTTAGTGCTCATATGCTAACAAGAAATGTGCTGACGGGAGGAGAGAGCAAAGTAACAAAGAGATGAACTCATTAGTTTGCTACTTTTCCTTCACTGTCCAATCATAGGCTGGGGTAAAGGACAAGACCCAGTGTTAGATATTTCGACACTCATAATTGTTTTAATGTCTTAAGGTGATTGTATAACATCAATTTGCTGAAATGACCAGTCAATTTTAGTGTGACTTTATTAGATCACATAAAGCCATCAAAAGTACTGAAAAGGTGCAACATCAACACATAAATATAGGCAGATAACAGTCCAAAATACAAGAAGTAATTTCAGGAAGCCAGAAGCAGACTGCACTTGCACATGCGCATATGCGTGCAAATAGTTCTGCGCATAGAATTGTGCATGGCCTTGCGTTTCTGTGCAGGTGTGCGAAAGTTCCACACCATGCATGCGGATGTGTGCTCGCGTTTGTTTTGAACATTGGTGCCAAATGGGCTATTTATGGCTGAGACACCCTGGCCTCCATGCTGACTGGTCTTCAGCTGTATCCTGTTTCTGTGTTCCTAAACCTGCTTTCCTGATCCAACCATCCGTAACCGACCCAACTTGTTTGACCTCTGGCTTCTGCTCTGCATCCTCTGACCTCGGCTTGTTTTGGACCATTCTTCTGCCTGTTGCCTGGTACCTCACTGCCCGCAAGTGTTTGGACTGGAGCAGCAGGATAGGCTGCACTCGTCATCTCAGGTTTCTCTTAAGACAAGTGAAAAGTAAATACCGTGTTTCCCCCGAAAATAATACACTGTCTTATATTTTTTTGGCTCAAAAAAACACACTCAGTCTTATTTTCGGGGTAAGTCTTATTTTTTTTTCAATGTACAACAATCCACACTTATTCATGTAGAAAAGTCTACATGTATTTATGTAGAAAAATAATCAGGGGTGCCGTACCTTTCCAAGAGCAATTTGCTAACCAATCGCTGGCCAGAATGAGCGAAGTGCACTTTCACTATCGATTCCTCACAGCTGGAGTGCATTTGGTATCACTCCGCCTGTGACAGGAGCCGGCGCTATAGAGGAGGCATCGGCTTATGCTCCCTCCGGTGCCGCCTCACTTCCTCTAGCGCTGGCTTCGTTGGCATCACTGATTCTCTCCTGCCTCTCCAAGTTCCCCCTTATGCCACCACGGCCCTGGGAATGGTCACAACTAAGTCTTATTTTCGGGGTAGGTCTCATATTTCAGCAAGTCCCAAAAATAGTAATAGGTCTTATTTTCGGGGTAGGTCTTATTTTCAGGGAAACAGGGTACAGTTAAAAATACAAGAAATGTGTTTGCAAAGTGTATGGAAACATGTAATGTGTACTGTGAGCAGTTGTGTCTGCTGTGTTTCCAAACCCAAAGCTTCTGACCGCTCATAGTTATATGTGAGATCTGTGTAAAAAAAATCCATTATAAATATTGACTGAACAGCTGCAATCAAACATTACTTAGACATACCTATGGCATAGATTTTCTATGGAAATTTAGGTCATTAGGCTTGCTGTGCCCTGTGGCAGAGCTGAATGAATTGCATAAATGATTAAACAGAAATACACATTTTGGGGCAGGTAAAACATTTCTGCTTATTTAGCTGTTTTCTGGCGTTCAGCTATAAAGCAAATCTCCAGTCAATTTGTTTTTGTTTGTTTTTTTAATTTTGGTTATTATGGGGAAGAGGTATTATAGACTGCTGATCCTGGACAACACAGACGATGGGATTTTCTGCAATAGTCCTGTTTATCCCCGGTTACCTCCCACCTGTTCACCTGTTTGGTGATTGCGAGACAGCATGTGGGGCCAAAGATCCAGCCATCTTTGTGAACATGAAAATACCTCCAACCTCCCTGAGGAAGCACATACAGCTGCGAAACGCTTCGGAGATGGGGCCCACAGTGGATCATACAACTATTACAGAAATCAGGACTCAAGGAGTCCATGTTATACTAATGAATTATATATATATATGTACACATGTATGGGCACCAAAAGGAGGTAGCTTGATTTCAATGTAACATTGTATCATGTCAATGACATTTTAATTGTAACCAAGTCTTTATGTATGTATTAAATATACGTTTATAAAAAACCATGTATGTTTGATGGACGTCTTGTATGGTTTGGACACTTTTAAAGCCCGCTTTTCTTTTCTTGTATATATTTCTGCAAAGTACTTTTTTGTCTTTGACCCCATTAGGTAGATGCTCCTTGACTTTCTGTACCTGTGACAACTTCACAAGAAATGGGGGGTGAAATAGTCACAGGTACAGGAAGATGTGGTGAGCAGCAGAAAAACTGTTAGACGTTTTAACCCTTCTCCGCTTATTTAAAAAAGTAATTTCAGAAAATACCTGTCGAGTTTGCCAGGAATGCAATGTCCTTGTAATTTCCTGTGAGATCACCTGAAATTACAATTGTATCTATCATCTGTAAACTACTAATGCCTACTTCCCCATGTAATGGGGATGAACAAAGGCAGACCTGTTTAAAGTCCAGTCCATGAGTGGCTATCATGGCTCCCTCCACAGATAAAGTCCAGTCCATGAGTGGCTATCATGGCTCCCTCCACAGATAAAGTCCATTCCATGAGTGGCTATCATGGCTCCCTCCACAGATAAAGTCCAGTCCATGAGTGGCTATCATGGCTCCCTCCACAGATAAAGTCCAGTCCATGAGTGGCTATCATGGCTCACAGTAAAGTGTGCGAGTGTAGCCACCCAGAAGCATGAAGTGTGATATTCGCAGCATTGCAAGATGTAAATAGAAGGAAAAAAGCCTAAAAAATAAAAATAATATGGGCAACTTATCTAAGGACTAGTAAGCTACATTTGGTTGTTTTTTCATTATGCTTCAATTTGCTAACAACCACAGAAGAGCAAATCTGATCCCGGTTCTAAAATGTGCTGCTGTGATAGAGTGACTACGATGTAAGGTGCTGTCATACATACTTTTAGGTCCATGTGGGTGAAGCTGTAAAAAAGATTTTGTGAACCCACAAACTTTTTTCTGTAATAGTACATGAATGCCTCTTACAAAGTCATATAACCTTCAGCTAGGTCATGATGAAAGAAAAAAAATACCATATATTTTCTGCACATAGCATTAAAACATTCAACTTTATAGAATGAAAAATGAAATAAACCCTCAAGATAATGAAATCTTAAAAAGAGCCTGCTCCATACAAATGTATTCTTTTAAAGTTCAACATGGTGTTGTGAAAAGAGAATTTGTGAATATTTAAAAAAAATATTAAGGTTTATGAGATGGAAATTATTATAAAGAGGAGTATTTGGGCCTCTACTGCTCTGCAGTCAGGCAGAAAGTTTACAACTGGAAGAAATACAGCACTTTGCTATTCATTCTAAAATCATCCTAATTTAAAGATTTAAAGTGAAGGAACCTAGTATACAATATACAAACAAACAAACAAACAAACAAACACAAAGACACTTAGGATGACAATCATACTGATACCTAAAATGAATGCACAGTTTTTGTACTTTATAAAATCTGTAATTAACATACCACTATAATAAAACAAAAAAATAAGTACTGGGAAATAACAAAAGTGAAAACATTTTATGGCCTAACAAACTTACTTTTCACTTTGTGAAACTAAAATGAAACAAAAGCTACAGCAATACATTATGTCATCCATCCTTCACATAAAGACTCACTCTCAGTATTATTAATGGATTGTAAATAAAGAATTGGTTCATCTCATTTATTTTTATATTTTAATATCAAAATGTTGACGTGGACTCTATTTAACAAACATATTTATCACATGGAAAGTGGCTTTTATATGCTTTTAAAAGAAACAATAGAAGCATCAGCAGAATCATTGACAAAATCAATCAATTACGTATTGACTCTAGCTGAAAAAAAGATGTGTACATAATAATAATGGTTCAGAACAGGGGTGAGAAATCCAAACTTACTAAGGTCCTGCCAAGGCTTGTGAGTAAAATCAGGGGCCGGACATAAAGAAGAAAAAAAAGAACCCTGCTTCTTGCCGCGGTACAAAGCTTGGGTCCACTAATTATCATTTGACAGTCCTGTGTGTGAGGGTTCTACAAGTGTCAGCAGTCCACCAGGATTGTAATATAATGGACAGGGACTGCTGACACTTGTACTGCCCTCCCTCACAGGAACCAGGACTGTCATATAATGATGATATGACTGTCATGTATCCTGAGGAAGAGGAAGTGATGGAATCCCTCCAACGGATGTAAAACCTGGCAACAGTTCTAATCCTTCCCCATTCTATTCAAAACAGGAAACGGTTTTGGCTATATATACAGTATACAGTTAAAGTCATCTCATTAAAGATATCATACATATTCCATGAATATAAATTAAAATGAAAAGGATGTTATCCTCCAAGTATTTTTTTTCTTGTCACTTATTATGTAATGTACTTTTACCTTCAACATCTTGATGAGTTTTTTTACAATTCCTTGTTGTACTGAAAGTCCGACTGCTGCAGTGCATTGTGGAAGAACCCTACTTAGAATGCCCACTAATCTCTGCACAAAGACAAAAAAAAAACGTATTTTCTAAGTTGTATGCAGATTAATATTAACACACAAATAATAATACTATGTCATAAAAATGAAGAGATTTGCCAACCTATCAGAAAATCTGTGCAGACAATAACATGTACTTCTGGCAATCTGATGTACTTGTATATATACACATTTTCAATTACTTATCTTTAGCGGGTTCCCACTTCATGAACTTCTTAGGCACTGGTGATGTATTCAATGCCTTCTAGGGAGATCTAGCAGCAAGGTCTCAGGGAAAAAAGGTTTTTTTTTTACATATACTGTAATTGAAATGTCGTACGGTGCATGCGCGAGCTAAGGAGACGAAGTGCATGACATCATCTCAGGGGAAGTCTTTTTATTTTCCAGCAGGGTAATGTGGTACAGTGCATGTGGCAGGTGAGGTGCATGACATCACCACTGATCTTGCCAGGCACCTCATCTTGCATATGTGCCATAACAGATAAACCTTACATAATCTCTAACAAAATACTTTTGGCAGCTATTCTAACATTTGTCCTGTAAAATGTGACCGGCCCTAAGCTCATGTTAGTCAATAGTAGCAATGGACTTTATTCCATGATTTTTTCCCATTTAGTCCATTATAGTTACGGTCTTAGTGTTGTGACACAGTGGGGTTGATTTACTAAAGGCAAATAGGCTTTTCACTTTTCAAACACATCTTCACTTAGCAAGAGAATGTTTACTTAACGAATGGAGTGAAGCTCTGCTGACTTCCATCATCCAATTATGCGCAAGCAAAAATATTTTTTTTCCTTTATTCTTCTATATTCAAAGTATTTTTTCAAGTATTCTTTGCAAGGTGAATTTTCATCACATTCTCTAAGCTAAGGAAAGATTCCCTTGCAAAGTGAATATTTCCTTAGAAAGTGAAGAGCCTTTTTGCCTTTAGTAAATCAAACACCATTACTTACTTATTTTTAGATGTGCTCCTTTAAATCAAAAAAACATTTTGTGTTTCAAAGCAAGTAGTTAAATTGAACTATTGGCAACACACCAATGTTGGGAGTTTTACAAATTGCTCCTCTACCTGCCTCCAACCCTTCTCCCACATGCTTTTGCTATTCACTTTGCTTTTAGTTTGTTTTCTTGACTATAATGAACTAACTGTTGACCTAGTATGGCCCAAGAACCACTTTTTCTATTAAGGATACATACATACCATACTTTTTAGAGAACTATATAAACATCTTTTATAAGTACGTTCAGAACAGTCACTATTTTTGAATTTTCCATTGTTCAGTGTCCATGACAGCCACTTTGCCATAAAAAAGGTCCATCAATAAAAGCATTTTTAAATGCAAGAATATGACATAAGTAGTAACTTACAGTGAGAACAATTCCATCTTGACAGCAAAGTAGAGATAAACATTGTGTGCTTATAGCAATGCCCCGCTCCTAAAAAATATGAACATTTTTTAAATACAACACAAAGGATGGAAATCATAAAGAGTTTGGTATGTAGACTGAAAGTACAAGAATGTTTCATTTAACAAAGGTCAGTACATTTTAAATACAATGCAAATGTTAAAAGTATGTTAAGAGCAGTCAACATTTTTGACTATTCCTTTGTTTAATTCACCATGAGAGACACTTTACCTTAAAAGAAGGTCCATCAGTAAAAGCTTTTTAATGTACAAACATGGCATCAATACTAAGTTACAGTGAGAATGATACTGCCTTTATAGCAAAACAGGGATACACATTGGGGTCTATTCACTAAGCTGCCGTAGGCAGCCGAGTGAATGACCTACCTGAAGTGAGCCGAACACTGTTCGGCTATTCACTTCAGGCTGGTACGGCTGATTTCAGCCGTACATCGGCTGAAATCAGCCGTACATCGGATTGCTTCACATGGCTTCGGGTCGGCCGAACATGCTCAGCATGTTCGGCTGACCCGAAGTGCAGAAGGAGTTCGACTCAGCCGATCCAACATCTGGATCGGCTGAGCCGAACATCCGGCAGGCTACTCACTGCTGTTCGGCCTATTCTTATAGATGCCGAACAGCAGTGAGTGAATAGCCGAATTAAATTTTCCCATTGAAATACATTGCTACATTACTATTGGCTACTTCAATTTGCAATAGCCAATAGTAAACTTGCATTGTACCCGCACCCTCTGCTAATGGACCTGATAAAGAAACTGCAGCAGAGGGTGGGTACAATGCTAGTTTACTATTGGCTATTGCAAATTGAAATAGCCAATAGTAATGTAGCAATATATTTCAATGGTAATTTTTTTTTTTTCTATTCTGACATCGCTCCGTGTCAGAATAAAGAAAAAAAAGAAACAGCAGTGTTTCTCTCCTTGGCGGCTGGGAGCAGGAGACTCCCGGGGCGCCAGGGAGAGCTAGCTGTTTGGAGATCAGTATCCCTGGTTAGCAGGTAACCAGCGACGCTGATCTCTCTGCAAGTGGCCGGAGCCAGCAGTAAGATCACGGCTGGCCCCCGCCCAGCTGTCAGTAGCAGGCTGTCGGTCGGCCAATGGCCGGCCGCTCGGCCAGCTTCGGCTTTCAGCACGACTCAGCCGAGCCAAGGCTCAACTGAGCCGCTCGGCCACGTTCGGGAGCTGTGGATCTCGACAGTATCTCGGCTGCAGCACTCTCAGTATATCGAGGGCAATAGCCCGCTTTAGATCCGTCCCGGCTGCGGCACTCTCAGTATATTGCGGGCAATAGCCCACTATATACTGAGCTTTGGGTCACGGGAGGAGGTTAGTATATGTCCTCCCATGACCCTAAAGAGAACTATGGGAAAAAACACCTACCCCATAGTTCTCTTTTAAGTCCGTGACACATTGCATGTAATTTCGTGCGTAGCAAAGCAAGCTGCGAGGCACAAATGTTCACAGGCAGTGTGTGACGGCAGCACGGCCTGATGAAAGACTGCATCTTCAGCCAATCGACTCACACGTAACAACTCAATAGACTTCATATGCTGACACACGGGTTTACATGTGTAAGCCGATTGGCTGAAGATGGAGTTTTTCATCTCAGCACGCTCAGCTATGCGTGCTTTCACAAGCTGACGTGCCGGAGTGAAAATTAGAAGACACACTGCATGTGAAGGTCTGTGTGCTGACTCTCTGTGCTACTTCGCGTGAAGTGTGTCACGTGCTTTACAAGGATATTTGTTTATGCCAACATGCATACCTCATGATGATACCATGCATGGTCAATAGCATTTTAACTACTGTTTATCTCTCTAGAAATGAAATGCATTGGATTTAATTTGCTTTAGTTCCATCGTATTCTGAAAGAGAGTTCAGCTTCAACCATACTGTGCTCAAATATTACAAAGTGAAAATTCATCGCCCCTAAATTGCATCTATAATGATTTTTATATTAAAAAAAAGTATTAAAAAAAAGTACCATATGCAAAGTTTTCCAATGACAAACTTTGTGTGGGAGTAGAGAGGAATAGTTGGCTTACTTGAGATTCAAACGGCTGAATTATATATTTAGTTATTTTACTTAAAAAAACACCTAAATAGGGCCTGTATCAATGGGCTTTGGACTTGTGTCGAATGGCTTATGGTATCAGTTTGATATCAGACTGAGGGGTCTATTCACGGAGCAGCCGAAGGATCTAGCCGTAGCTTCGGACGATCCTTCGGCTAGCTTCGGCCCCAGGACCCCTTTGGTTCACTATAGCCTGTACAGCTCCCGAAGTCGGCCGGGGGGCTCAGTCGAGCCGAAGGCATATGCCATTGGCCGGCCGACAGCCTGCTTCTGACAGCTGGGCGGAGCCAGCCGTGATGTTACGGCTGGCTCCGGCCACTTGCAGAGAGATCAGCGTTCCTGGTTACCAGCTAACCAGGGACACTGATCTCCAGACAGCCTAACTCTCCTGGGCGCTCCGGGAGTCTCCCGCTCCCAGCCACCCAGGAGAGAAACACTGCTTTTTCTTTTTTATTCTGACACGGAGCCGTTGGCTGGCGTCAGAATTAAAAATAAAAACATTTTCACCACAGGAATGCCTTGCTAGATTCTTATTGGCTATTTCAATTTGCAATAGCCAATAGCAAACTAGCTATTGCACCCGCCCACTGCTGCAGTTCTCCATCAGGTCCCTACTAATTAGTAATTGACAGCAGCAGAGGGCATACAATGCTAGTTTGCTATTGGCTATTGCAAATTGAAATAGCCAATAGGAATCTGGCAAGGCATTCCTGTGGTGAAAATGTCACTGCTAGCTCCGCACAATAATTTATTTTTTTCTACTTTTTAAACTATTTTTTTGTTCTATTCGGTCCCACAGAGGGACCGAGCAGAACAGCCGAGCCGAATGCCGCTACACATCTATCAACTAGTTCATTTTTATTGTTAACACAAAAGCTCTGACTACCCTTTTGATGCTTTTTTTATACATTGGTGTAATGAAGTGTACAGCGCTAAATGCCCTTCAGGAAATTAGATAACGGTAGGGATCATATGGTGTCACCTCCGTGTCAAGCAATCGTGAAACAGTGTATATATAATAAATATTTGTGTAAAAACTTATAGTACGTTATAAAATGTGTCAGCAGGTGTCATAAAAGGTGTGTCATACATGAACCTTATTAAATAAATAAACAAAAATTTTATACATTAACTTTATTCTTTTATATGGACAAGAATCGTTTCTCTAACATGCTTGCATGCTTATTAAATGTTAACGTCTCTTTTTCTATTACAAACAAATTAAGAAAAACAAATGGTCTCTGGTATCCGCTACCTCGCCCCCATTCCTATAGGAGTCTACTGAGCTTTGCCATATCTGATCTCCTCCACTTGGCAGCATGAGATGCTATAAAACTGAAATTAGTCATTATAATAATGCTTATAGTGCTCTGCTAGTGTTCCCATTGGAAGCTTGTCCAAAAAAGAGCTTAAAGTGTATGTAAACCCTAAATCTATGTTTTAGCATGTTTGGCAGCATGTCTCACTATATACAGTTTTCTTAACCACTTGCTGTCCAGAGCAATTTCTTACTATTTGCACACACATGATAACATATCATTTTTTTTGGCTAGAAAACAGCTTCAAACCCCTAAACCCTATATATGTTCTGAAAGCAGAGGCCCTGTAGAATAAAAAAATGCTAGTTGCAATGTTTTATGTCGCATGGTATTTTTTAGGATAAATTAAAATTTAGTGCACAGAAACAGAACATAATACCATTTTTTTGGTAAAATATAAAAGGTGGGGTCATGATGGGTAAATAGAGACCACACATGTCAAGCCTTAAAATTGTATTCACTCGCGAAGCCACAATATACTTCAATACCCCAAATTTCCCATGGGGAACACTTTAAACGCTTTTACTGCTCATCAATTTAGTGCTAACAGTGATTAATGGCTCTAGAATGATTGCTCTCACTCCGACATTCGTAGCGATATGTAACATGTGTAGCACAATTGTCGTTTTCACACGTAGGCGCACCAGCGCGTGTTTGCATATGTATGTGTGGGGGGTGGGGGACTTTAAACATTTTTTTTGCATTTTTTAAAATGTTATTATTTGTTACTTTACTTTTTTATATTTAAACCCTTTTTTATAATTTTACACTAGCCTTATTGCTATCACATAGGGGGCTAACAAGTACTGCATGCTAGGTGTGCAATAGGGTGCTTTAAATGTACAGTACTGTATGTTTAGCTCAATACTCTGATGTGAATGGACCCTTACAGTGCTATTGCTGCTTGTTCAGAATTCACTTTAAGCAAATTATTTTTAGTAAAACTGTTGCAAAGTTTCTTACCTGGAAATCCTACTAGTAGCAGAACTTCCTGTTGTAGGCCACCAACACTTAATGAAGAACTAAACCCTCTTACTTGCTGAGAACAGTGCTATCTCAGTCTCAATTTTGGTCTGCATTTGCCATGGTGCTGCACATATGACCAGCTATGACACCAGCCATTCGAAGGCTTGAAAGATTGGAGGAGAACTGACATAAGCACACTCACACCTGTGACAGTTAACACCAGAGGCATGACTTGAATATACAGTAGTATACTCTGTGCATGTGCAGCAAAACTTCAGAAAAAAGCATTGGTTTGATTAAGAATTAATTAACATTTATTGACTGTTACTGTAACGATCGGCTTATACCGAGGGATCTCAGCTGCGGAGAGTATGTTAATACCTGGTTTAGATTTGGCTCAGCCCAAGGGTTCATTTCACACTCTGTATGGGTTGGAGTGATGGTGGAACCCTCTAATACATCATATGCCAATCTATGGGTACCCTAAGGCAGTTCAGACTTTAGGAAGATAAGTAACCTGAACAGAGGGGAGTGGAACTGTTTATCACTTTAGTTCAGGAGTTATGTTACCCACTAATGTACTATGAAAGGATTCAGAATATGAGCTGAAGTCCTGCAGTACCTCTATATCACCACATACAGTTAGGCAGACTAGAATGGCAGTATAACATACACAGTCACTTCAAATCCCCAGACGACACATTCAATGATAGATTGAATCAGGCAGGGTTACTTGCGATTGGAAGAGGAGACCCCCACTGGATGTTCCCAGTTAGCTGCACATCAAGTGCCAGAAATGGACGGGTGAACCCGGCAGGAGGGAGATCCAGCATAAGCGAGGTACTTCCTGAAGTGATTGCAAGGTTCAGTCCTGGTGGGGGAAGGTCCTTGTAATGGTGTTCGTTAGAGAGTTGCAATGGCCCGACGCTAACAATACTAGAACGCCGAGGCATTGCAACTCGTGCTGTTTTAAGGGGCTCGGACTGATAATGTGGGCGGAGTCACAAGCGGCGGCCGCGTCTCTTAGTGACGTCATGCCGCAGCATCGAGAGGCCGGCCCGCGGCCCAAAACGGCGTATACGAGAGATCCCGTTACAGTTACTTACCTGAGCTTTCTTTTAGGAAACAGTTTTCTGGTGGGTTTATCTCTGCTTTAATTACTGCAGCAGGTTTGCCTTTGGGTTGCCCAACTAAAGGAGGGCATGGCAGAATGACAATGCTGCTAATTGTAAAGCAGTGGATTAGCAATGTTAGCCTGCAAAAGGAATGTTGCTACTGAAATCATTGCAATAGATTCCCAACAAATATTTCCTTAGGAAAAACAGTGAGGCACAATGACAAAAATACTGAAAAATAGATTTAGGGTTTTTATATTCCAGACTTTGGACATTCAAATATATACACTTTTTTTACAAGCAGCAAATAGCCCTTAAAGCCAAAATTAGCTTTCAGTTTAAACTGCAATTTATACTTTCCAGTGGAAGAAAAATTAAAAGTGTATAAAATGGAGCAGTTTGTTTTGTTTAGGAAGCAGCCACATAGTAGAAAGGCCTGTTCTCTGCCAGCATGCCCCAGAGAAGGATTCTTGCTCTCTGTGTGGAAGCAGTATCCTCTCTGCAGAGGTCTAGCACACTCCCTGCTGAGTGAGACCTACAGTAAAGCTCTGCAATTAGCAAAGCTCCTGCTCCCTGCTGAATGTAAAGCTGAAGCATGTAGTGGGGCAAGCTTTTCTACAGCAATGGATGCTTTCTAAAGAAAAACCCGTAAGACTTTGCACACCTTTTGTTTTGGTACACCTGGAATATATTTAGCTTATGTAAACTAGAAGTTCAGTTGGACTTTAAAACAGGCCTTCACTAACCTCTGTAGCTGCAGGCACTGTTGAGTAATTTATCCTTAAAGTTTACACTTTCACTTGCATTTCAGCAGTGAAAGTGTAAATGCTTCCTTGTTGAATTTGAGGATGAATTGCTGTAGGGTGGCTTGTATCATGCCTGTGATGTTTATCACCTATAGTAGTTTAAACTCCAAACAGCTTTCTTTAGCATTGCTTTCACTGAATAATATGTGTGGGTCTTTGGTGGTGTTGCACTTGAGGCCCCCTATATTAATAAAGTTGACCACCACTGACTTAGTGGCCTAAGTCAATGGTGGTTAACCACTGCAGTCAAACCTGCAGAAAACTCTTAATACCTTGATTTTATAGCATGAGGGATGACTGTTCTGACAATCAAACCTTCAGCACTTCCTGATGCCACATTTCCCACCAAGCTTGTCATGATCCAGCAGCAGAAAATGCCCATGCACCATTTTCCTTTTTACAGAGTTCACTTCCAAGGACAAGTTAAACATGAAATCAAGAATTGAGCACCAGTGGCCTATCAGCCTATCACAAACCTGCAGCAAACTCTAATACCTTGATTTTATAGCCAAATAGTGGACAGTTCTGGTAATCAAATCTTTGGCACTCATTAAATGCCCAAGGATATTTTTTTAGAGCACTAGTCCTATCTCACCTTTATTGCAGAGGTCACTTCCAAGGACAAGTTAAACATGAGACCAAGAATTGCAATTAAAATGCTATTGTATTGTCCTCCATCAGCTGAAGAGCAGCACTCATCCTAAGAGATGACATAGAACATGTTTATCATCAATACTAGAAGCAAAATATTACCATAACATGGTGTGGTTAACATGGCAGACATAGTGGGGTCGATTTACGAATGCAAATAGGCTTTTAACATTGCAAGGGAACTTTCACTTAGCTTAGTGAATGTGGTAAAACATGTGGTTTGCAAAGAATACCCAATCATGTGGAAGGAAAAATAAAAACCAGTAATTTTCCATTTAAATGATTGGATGATGGAAGTCACCAGAGCTTCACCTCACTTACTAAGCTAAGGGAAAATTCCCTTGCACGCACAGTGCAAATTCCCATGCAAAGTGAAGAACAGAGTTTCCTTTAATAAATCAACCCCACAATGTCTATTGTAGCTCTTTCAGATAAACTAAGTAAATACTGATACAGGCATATAAGCATAAAAAAGTGAACAATGTGTATTTTCATTTTTCTAATGATCATCTAATCAGTTCATGATTTCTGTCTTCAGATCTTGTCATATTCAAAGTATAACATTCCATTCTATGTTAGTGTAAAGACTGGTATTGCTAATTTATAGAAATATAGTTTGGAACTAAATGCTCTGAAAACGCTCAGCGGTGCTCTTAATATTCAAGGTTAACATGGCTGTGATACCTGTAGTATCATTTGTAAAAAAAAAAAAAAGCACTGAAACAAAACCATGACATTTAAGTACAGTGTTGTGTGCCTGGAATGAAATGTTAACAAAATAAAACAGAGAGAAAGCAGCGGCCTTCATAAAAATCTGAAGTACCGAGACAGGTTCATGTCCCTTTTTTTAGCACATACAGTATGTTACAACAGCTAACAAGTCTTAGAACAAAAGTAAACAATTTTTCAAAGTAGATATCTCTTGGTTTTCTAGTTCTCTTTCCTAACAAAATCATTTTTAGTCATGTCTCGCTGACAGATAACATGTCCCCAATCTTTACCTTATGAGCTACAGTTTTGTCAGCTTCAGTTTTAATTTATTTCTTCACATGCTGATTCCTTTACCAGTAAAGTCAGGAAATCAGCACATTCAGTTACAGTTAAAGTGTACCTCTAGCCAAAATCTTTTTTTTTTGCTTTTGGATAAAGTGGGGAAGACGTAAAACCCATATAAGGTTTTTACTGCTTTCAGCATCCTCATTGGGAACATTCACCCTGGACAGCAAGAGATGACTAATCCATTACTTTATGACTGTCACATTTGGGACATTTATTCTAATGAAAACTGTACATGGTATTTCCCTTACTTTGGAGAGATTTTCAGTTGCATCCTGTTTTCTCTTCTGGGCAGAAAGTGTGGGGACAAAAACAGCAGGAAACAAAACCCAAAAAACTTTCCAGGGGTTCTAAACCTTCTCCACTTTATACAAAATGAAAAACAATCTAGTTTTGACTAAAGATTAACTTTAAAGCCTAACTTCCGCAGGCTTCCTCATCCTTAAGTGACCAATCCACCTGGCCCAGGAAAAATCCTGTCCACAGCCCAGGATATAGGTCAGTGAAAGAGAGTGCTGGCTTCCTGGGGGAGTGAGGAATAAGGTTTTTGGACTTATCCCTCTCCCCAGTCAAAGGAGCATTTAACAAATGTAGTGCAGGGGGGACCCCACTAAATGGGTACATTTAAAGTCACCAGTATATAGCCTTTTTCTAGATTACCTACAAAAAAAAAAAACAGGGTATACGACTCTGTGTATGTCAGTGAGAGGTTGAAAAGGGCAGCTTTCCCTGGCTAGGAAGGAGTTAAGCCTTGCCCCAACAGGTACACCTCCTCTATATTAATTAGCCTGCACTTGATAGTGACTGAGGGGGAGAAAGATCCATGCTGGACTGGATGAATGCGTACAGACTGGAGAGTGCCTGAATATCTGTGGAATAAGGTCTGGCTAAAAACTGTATGGGGTCTATTCACTAAGCTGCCGTAGGCAGCCGAGTGAACGACCGACCTGAAGCGAAATGAGCCGAACGCTGTTCGGCTATTCACTTCAAGCTGGTACGGCTAATTCCAGCCTGAAATCAGCCGTACATAGGGTGGCTTCGGCTGGCTTCGGGTCGGCCGAACATACTCAGCATGTTCGGCCAACCCGAAGTGCAGAAGGAGTT